GCTTACGTTTTGTGAAGCAGCTTTATAAGGACTCTTCCAAAAGGTTTTCTGAAATACGTCCTACAAAAGCCCTTCTGGAAGCCCATCAATGGGTAGCGAAACCAGAAGGCCTTCAATTTGTGCCACTCCATACAAAAAACAAACGGGCAGATGCCTCTTGACTCTCAAACTTGCACCTTTTGGAAGGGCTTTTAGCTTCTGAAATTATCTGCTGGGCATTAAACTAGCAAGCAATTAATAGCTCGAGTTGAGAATTCTATTTCTGTTAATATTCTAACGCTTTGCTCGTGTGAACTTTGAATATTTGAGTATCAGAATCAAATTTTGCGGAATATTAAATTTTCAAACAAAGAATTATATTTATGTAGATTCTAACGAATTGATTTATAGATATGCATGTAAGTATGTATGGATCCAGCTAGAAAAACAATGTAATTTTCGGAACGTTCATCTGCGGTTTACGAAATTGATTGCCTAATTATTTGTAAAATATGTGAATATACATATGTACATATCTCGCACATTCAGAATTCCTAGTAGCATATACATATGTATTTGTATATATCGACACCCGGATAAATAAACGTCTTATATGAATGTTGGGCAAAATTGAGTTAATGATGCAATTATACTAAATTAAATACATACATACACATAGAGCCAAACATCATAGTAAATTTAGTACCGTTTACAACCAAAAGCTTACTTTAACCCAGATTATATTATAAAAGTAATGGATTTGTTGTAAATGATAAAATTTAAGACACATTTTATTCGAATGAGCTACTGTTAATCGATTCAGCTATGAAATTCTACACAATATAGAAAAAAAGGTGAGATTCATTTCTGCAACAGTGAAACCTCGAGATAAAGAAGTTGAAAGCGTTGCGAAATGCTTCAATATATCTATAGTTTCGTTATGCAGTAAAACCCGCTTAAGTACCTCACGAAAAATGTCAGCTTTTTGAGGTACTTAGACGGGTTGGGTAACTTAAAAGAACCCGCTTAAGTTCATCGATGCGGGTACTTAAGCGAACATAATTATTGATGTAGTTAATCTTCTTGTTAACTTACATAAATAAGTTCTTGAATTAAAAATGAACATTTAATGAAGTGTACGCAGTTTAAAACCAAGATCTTAGCATTATTTAAACACATAAATCGATAAAGCATTGTTATGTAATTTTTACAAGAATTCAATTCTTTAAAGTCATTGATTATACATATTTATACATACATACAGTGTTGGACATATCTATCATTTCGGACCAAATTCAAAATGATGTTGTTTGCCACTTATGCTTATTTATTCATTTTTAAGATTTTTCAATAAAAACAAAGTGCACTCCCTAACAAATACCATATAGACCTAAGCATACAATTTTTTGAACAAAATTTTCATCAAAATATCAAACTGAAGTGGGTTTCACTGTATTTGTAGAATATCCAAACCTCGATACAACGGAAAATTCAAAATTTTGGAAAAAACGATTCCTTTAATGGTCGATTATTTGACTGGTAACGTTACATTCGTACGCATTTTTTCTAAAATGTGAATCGATTGTCCCTTAAATAACAGAAAACCACCTGGGGTTCTTAGGTGATATGATTAGGCATGGCCAAATTTACGAGTATGTGTCTGTAAAAGAAGGCATTTAATAAATCGTTTGGTTTCAAAGTTATAGGCATTCGAATGTGCACTGGCTACGTTACACTATTTGGAGGTTCAATGATAGGTTGTGTCAGAAAGTTTGAAATTTCTGCGAAATGGGTGAACGAATATTACTAGTTTTACAGTATGTCATCTACAGTGAATGCAGGAGGATATCTGCATAATAAATTGTTGTAAATTTTAGGTTTTTAAAATTTTTACTCATAAAATTTGGGCACTGGTAACGTTACACAAAACACTGGCCACGGTACACGTACGGTTCGCTTGGGCAAGGTTTAACCAAATGGCTTCGCTGATCCATTTTTTCTTCGCATTCTTATTCTGTCATCATAAAAAAATTTTTGAGCTAAAATTGGGAATCTTCTATGGAAGGATTAAAAAGTATAACTCGATTATCATTAAAAATTCTAACTAGGTCAAAAATCATCCTACAGTAAAATTTTTGACCGGAAAATCTTCGTATTATCAGCGAAAATAATATTTATGTATTTAACTTAACTGAAAAACCACTTATTTTTAATAACTTAAAATAGGCATAAGTTCAACTAAGGTACCATGTTGTGTGTTTTCTTTTTAATCCTTTCTGAATCATTGTTTTTTTTTCCAATACCATCCAAGACAATTTCAAAACAGATAAGGTGGTTTCGACAACTTCGTTCATCTTAGATACAAAAATGTTAATGCATTTATCGCAGTTCTATAAAAAAGTTCTCTAATAAAAATTTAACAAAACCATTCTCATAGATTAACAAACTCTTTATAGTCTGGTGTAGACTTTTATCAGATTCTACATATAAAAATGTAGTGATAGGAATGCAATCACATGTAATGGCGTATAGATAACTGATCGGTTTTACATATTGAAAAAAATTTCATTAAATTCCAGGGAAATATATACACAAAATCTTAAGAGATAAAGATTTCAAAAGATATTTTACAAATATTAGATTCGCTTTATTTAAATAGAATAGTTATCATTATATTATGACGGCCGCTGCACTTATGATTACATGTGCGTATCTCCGTAATCGTTCTACCGATTTCTACCAAATTTGGCACAGCTGATCTTGGTACAACCTAGCAAATGGTTGAAAGTGTTTGAAATCAGAAAATAACCACGCCCGCATCCCATAAAACGGTAATTTAGAGAAATACCAAATATTCGATAAATCAGTAACTACTGAAGCGGAATTATTATAATTGATGTTTGCAATAGTTCTTTGGCAAGAAATTCGTCTATAAAAAATGGTTGGAAAATGAGCTTGACACCGCCCATTTATATGTACACACTTACATATGTATGTGTGACTCGGTAACCGTTCCATCAACTTGCACCAAACTCGGTAAAGTTACCGTAACTTGCCACATAAAAGCAAAACGTTGAAAATTTTTGAAACCGGACTAAATTTACGACCACGTTTCATATAACGGTAAATTTCAGAAATGCTGAAACTTCAATATTTCGAAATTTAAGGACACTAGTTTACTCAAAATAGATACTCACAACAATCCCTTGAAAATAAGTAACATTTACCACGTTTATATGATGCTTCAATTCGTTCTAAGTCAAACCGAGTTATTTGGACACACACATGTAAACTCATTCTTAAATCGAATTGAAACTTTTAACCGTGCCACCAATCGTGTTAAGAGTGCATATATACACGGGATTTGTCCACACGGTTGTTTCATGCAACTCTAAATGAAGTAAAACATTTAAATAGTTCTTAAATTACATTTGGGCTAAGCTTTGTTACAAAATTAATAGCTAATATCCTTTTTCTTGGCTGTTTGAGTCTTTAATTCTTATTTTTCCATGTTTATTATTTTCAAGAATAGACACATGTATTAACAGGGTTGCATCGGAATGAACTCTGTTTAAAAGCGTGTTTGATCGACTCATTTATTTTGTTGCATATAAACACTTGCATTTCAAGCGAGCTACACTGACACGAGTTCATTCGATACCGCTCTTGGTGCCATATAAACAAGAGGTAATTGTTATGAAAGTTTGAGAATGGGTGTGATACCGCCTACTTATAGCTGTAAAAGTTTATCTCGTCAAGTATAACTGAACACAGTATCGCAGATTTTTGAAATTGGCTAAAACCACCCCTGCTAACCATGTAACGATATTTTTCGGAAAGGTGAAGAAACTATATTTTATACGTACGCGGGATATTTAATGTTTGGCTTCGGCCGAACTTAGACTTTCTTACTTGTTTGAGTATAAATTTTTTGTGCATCCTTACTACCAGCACTCGCAAAATCTCCACTTTTTACTAGTTGGAAGATTTCAATTATGTATAGGAGTTAAGTTATGAACAGGGAACGGATTTTTTGGATCTAAAAACCTATAAAAAAAGCAAAGTAAGAAAGGAAGAAAAAAGGAAAAAGAAGGCACTAAAAAAGACATAAACCGAAAAACAATCAAAAAATACTAAAATAAGTGTAAGAAATGTTTATTTTACAAGTAAAAAAAGAATAACTATTAACTAGTTTCTTTATATGAAAAATGTGTACTTGAATCTACGACTATTTTCTCCTTTCGAGTTTTTAACTCACAAAACTTTAATCTCTATAGTTTTAGTAAACTAATAAAACCACAAGGAGCATTTTGAAGTTTTCTGGCAGCATTTTCATTTGATTTTCGCGAAGAAAAGCCTTGAATGAACTAAACGTGCGCTCGGCGTGAGTTGATACAAGTGGCGCTCAATTTAAATATGGAACGTTTAAAACTTTCATATTATCAGGAATAAGGTATCAGGTCATTAAAGGTAGAAAAGGCAAAAAAGGCAAATATCTTAAAAAAGGGCAAAAAAGTGCAACATCAAATGTGTATATATGGAACCAGGGAAAGCTAAATCGTGGACATTCTTAATCAAATATACTTAGCAGAAAAGAAGACAATTTCCACAAAATCCATTCCCTGGTTATGAATCACACCAGATCCTTGCGTGTGGAATATCTCATTTGGCAAACCATCGGCTCTGTCATCATTGATCAAGGATTCGGGCCTTATCATTTCCAAACGCTCTGCCTTTTTTAACATTCAGCCGGTTGAAGCTTTGTCATTTTCATATTTTACATACTAAGTGCGGTCTGGTCATTAGCCATCAGTTCGTCGTTTTTTTTTAGCTCGGAATAATTTGTATGGCTCTCTTCCTTTCTTAACTTTGTAAGCGGATTGCGCTGCGCTCGATCGTAGTGTGCCCATGTGACAGTGGAACCTCGGATTGGTCTAAAGCGCTATCGTTAAATTTGTTCAATTATGTTTCTGGATTAAGGTTTTTTATCATTCTTCCTATAATATTGTTAATTTGTTATGATTGTTGGTTTAAATACGAATAATGTACCTAATATTTTACTTATGTTATACCATTATTGTATCTTTTTCTTTTCATGAGATTATTTAAATTTTTTGCATGCGAATTTTCTTATTCTTCCAGGGAAGGCAACCACCCCGATGACTACTCACGCGGTCTCACTTATCGTAAATTACTCGAAGAAGTTTGTCGCTTCGCAAACGTACTTAAAGACCATGGTGTGAAGAAGGGTGATCGCGTCTCCATTTATATGCCGATGATCCTCGAATTGCCAATTGCTATGTTGGCTTGTGCGCGTATCGGCGCCGTACATTCCATTGTTTTTGCCGGCTTCTCATCCGATTCGCTGGCGGAGCGTATGTTCGATTGCAAAGCCAAAGTGCTGATCACCGCTGATGGTGCTTGGCGTGGCGAGAAACCATTGTACCTGAAGGCACTCTGTGATGTGGCGCTGGAGAAGGTCGAAGAGTTGGGACACAGCGTGGATAAGTGTATTGTGGTGTCACATTTGAAACGCGTGACGCCATGCGTTGACGATCATGTCGAACAGGATATACCGTGGACGGATGATCGTGACTTTTGGTGGCATGAAGAGATGGAAGACAAAGAACCAGCCTGCTATCCTGAGTGGATGGAGGCGGAAGATCCACTTTTCATGTTGTACACAAGTGGCTCTACCGGCAAACCGAAGGGCGTGTTGCATACCACAGCGGGCTATTTGCTATATGCAGCGACTACATTCAAGATCGTCTTCGATTATAAGCCCGGTGATGTTTACTGGTGCACAGCCGATATTGGCTGGATTACTGGGCACACATATGTGGTGTATGGACCGTTGGCAAATGGGGCAACGTCGGTGATGGTGAGTGCAGCTTGGAGTATAAGATATGTGTTTATATTTTAAAGTGGCTACTATAATTGGGGCACCCATTTTATTAATTTCAGTTTGAGGGTACACCATTCTATCCCGATAACGACCGATTCTGGGCTGTGATCGATAAATATAAGGTGACTCAGTTCTATACCGCACCCACAGCTATACGTGCGCTAATGAAATTTGGCGAGGCGCCCGTCTTGAAGCATAATCTAAACGGTTTAAAGTGAGTTTAGCTTTGTTTGCTAGCGTGTAATTCTAAAGATCAAAATGTTAACTTCTTCTTTTTAACTGCAGAGTACTTGGTAGCGTTGGCGAACCTATCAATCCAGAGGCTTGGCTGTGGTTCTACCGCTACATCGGCAAAGAGAAGTGCTCGATTGTTGACACATTCTGGCAGACAGAGACAGGTGGTCATGTTATTACTCCCATTCCAGGCGCTACACCCATGAAGCCGGGTTCAGCGGTAAGTCGCTGTTGTGTTTGCCCATTATAAAATATATTTAAATTATTAATTTTTATTGCAGTCGTTCCCATTTTTCGGTGTTAAGCCCACGCTACTCGATGAAAGTGGTATTGAAATCAAGGGCGAAGGTGAAGGTTATCTAGTCTTCTCGCAGCCTTGGCCAGGCATGATGCGCACGTTGTTTAACAACCATGAACGCTTTGAGAGCACATATTTCTCGAAGTTCCCTGGCTTCTACTGCACCGGCGATGGTAAGTTAATGCTGCTAAACAAAAATTTTTTGTTGGAAAAAAGTCCCTCATAACCTTCTGAAAAAAGCCCCAACTTTAGAAGAGTTCGTTGAATTAAGAAGCTAAGCACAGTTTTTTTGTAACAAAAGCGCCACCGAAGCTGAGATGTAGGCTCCGTAGGTGAATACTTAATACGATAGAAACTATTGAGAAATGGTGTAGAAATCGGTTGGAATTTTTGTCAGCAACGTTCTAATCCCTCAAAGCGTATCTCTCAGCTTCCCAAGTTGGCATCGAAACAGACCTTGACATGAAAATGGTAGGAACACTATTCCGGAGGTGAGGAGAATATTTCAACAATAGTTCTGTTCTTCAGCGACATAAGCGTGGATTTCCTTTGCTTGACAGTGGCAGGAAAGACTTAGAATCCAACAGTTTATTACACAAGGCAACACAGGTTTGGGTGCGGTAAATGGTAAAACTGTTTTTGATAGACTGGTTTGTGCTGATTACGAATCCGTAAGTGTAAAGTTTCCATCAGCTCTAGATTGAGAAAAACGAGGCCAAAGTGTAAAAAATCGCGTTTTTTGCAATATTTGATAAGCTCTAGCAAATAAACAAATAGTGTCACTTAGGCTTAAGTTAAAGCTAGAACTCTCGACTGCTATCGCTAAGAATACCATCCATGCATCTTGACCCTAAGGTCACTCATAGTCAGTTATTGAGCAATAAAAAAATACTGGAAAATTGTGCTATAGAAAAAGGTTGTGCCAAAATCAGCTGTTGCTCTGCAACAAATGACTATAGGTGACCATCAGGCCAAGGTGCAGGGATGGAATGCCGCTTAATGTGGTGATTTTCATCTTGTTACACATTTTTGTTTTATGTAAATTAATCTGAGAAAAGCCCCTTTCTATATTTGCTGTTGAAACCACATAGAAAACCTTCAAGTCTTGCCAGATATTTATAGTGAAGATTCTTTATATAGAGTGTTTATATTCAGTATGACCTCTCTGCATTTTTACCAAAATGAGGTTCCTATATAAAAATCGGCCTTAGATCGCTTTTCAGAAGAATTAACTATTCGGCCCTATGATGAATATCGTCATCGTCGACGATCGTCAGCGTATCAGTAACATGGCTGACGATGGCCGTGTCGTCACTTTTACTGAGGATAACGATATTCAACATAGGGCGGATTGAATTTCAAAATTAAAATTGCAACCAGTGATGACAGTTAAGTCTCAGATGGGTTCTAACATCAGAAACTGCAGATAAGTCGTATTGAATATATGCCCTCGATAAGAAATTTTGGTTTCATTTAAATATCTTCAGTTTAAGATTTTGCCAAAATTTTTTGAAAATAAGTCTTCCTTTTGAATATTTTACTTCTGGCAACACTGTGTGTGACTTGCATTCCAATGTTTCCGCCCAGCGTTCGCTGCGCTCTTTCAAAGCTCATCATCTAGTAGTAAACCACTTATAAGTATAGCGAGTGTAGCCCCCACTATTTCCTCACTCGGCGATAATTGACTTACAAGCTCTACGGCTCTGCTGTTAAGTGCTATGTTACTAAGTAGGGTCTGGAAGCCAAATAAGCTTGATAGCGAAAAGATCTCATCAAAAGTTACGAATTCCCTGGCCGTTATTGAACAAGTCATCAATCCTCTTTGGATGTAAAGTGGAGGTGAGGCATCTTCTCGGACTCAAAGTCGGTGTACGGCGACACTCTGAGCTAAGCATCTTTAAAATCGTGCGGCTTTATAATTGATTAGAGCTCTTTAAAGAAAATTCGGACCTTGATGCTTTCTTAGCCTTTATCTTCTTCGTGCACGCATTGAAGCTCTATTTAAATTTTAAGTTAACTGCTGAACGTAAGCTTCATCTCCACTATTAAAACGTTCCTAAGAGTATTGCAATTTTGTCAGTTTGGCTTCAATGATTATTCCCAATGGAAAGATATTATTGAAAGGCAGGTGTTCAAAATTTTCGATGTGAGAAAACCTCAATAATCTAACGAGCGAATTGTGTATTGGCCCAAAGGCTACCAAACGACATACATACTTATGAAATATTTGAAAATCTAATTTAATTAACGCCACTTAGAATAAAGTTAAATAATACTTTAATACCACTTCAGGTGCACGCCGCGATGCTGATGGTTACCTTTGGATCACCGGTCGCGTTGACGACATGCTTAACGTTTCGGGACATCTGATGTCTACGGCCGAAGTAGAATCCGTGCTCACCGAACATCATCGTGTGGCCGAGGCAGCAGTCGTTTCGCGGCCACATCCGGTGAAAGGTGAATGCCTCTATTGCTTCATTACACCGAATGAGAATGAAATATTCGATGCGAAACTTGTGTCGGAATTGAAGAAGCTAGTACGTGAGCGTATTGGACCATTCGCAATGCCTGATGTTGTACAACATGCACCCGGTTTGCCAAAAACGCGCTCCGGTAAGATAATGCGACGCGTATTACGCAAAGTGGCTGTTAATGATCGTAATGTTGGCGATACCTCAACGCTGGCCGATGAGAGTATCGTTGAGCAATTATTCAAGAACCGACCGATAGAAGCTAAGTAAATATGAATAAGCAATGGCGGACGTACACACATACACATACTTTATCGCAGCTATAAAAGAAATTTAGAAATAATTTGTAAAAAGAATGAACATATGCTACTTAAAGATGTAGGTAAAAGGCGTGAATGCAAGGTCTAAACAACGAGGGTAAAAAAATTGACAAAGTCAAAATGTGCTTATACTATGTATTCGTAGAAGTGGGATCAAGTAGTGGTTGAAAAAAAAAAAAATACAGTTATACAAAAGCTTGAAGCCATACATACATACAAACTTTAGCTATATACATAAGTAGCACCTAGATTTTGAATTTTATTTTGTTTTTTAATCTTTTTAATTGCGTGGCACATTCACGTATTAAGTGTAAAAATTAAAAAATCTCCAAATATTTTAAGTAAATATATAAGTAATAATTTAGTTTAATGCCTTTCTGCACAAAAAAATATTTCCATTTCATGGTGCATTAAAGCTCAGGACAAATGCGTCCTGGGATAACGGAGGTTGACTTTATAAGTAGTTAATTTAGTGGCAACACTTTTTCTTTTAAATACATATTTCTTAGAAATAAATTTGAATTCATTTACACAAATTTTCAAGCCGAAAGTGATTTCGCATCACAAAGTTTGGATTTCCTGGTACTTTGGAAATTATGTATGCATTTATTGTTTAATACACTAAAGCATATGCGCAGAATAGAAAACAAATATGTAGTAGTAGCAACTAAAACTGAATTTTAGTCGTACAAGCGTTGTCAAAATTAAGTAAAGTCGGAATTAAATAATTAAAAATACTTAATTTGTTTACATTTCGACTTTAATTTATTAATGCGGTATAGTTTTTTAAATTAGTTTCTGTGTTACTTGTAAAAGCCTGCTACATGCACACATACATACATAAAGCATGTTTTGTAGTTATGTAGTTTTTATGAAACATTTGAAATGTTTTTTTTTTAAGGTACATATATGCACTTTTTAATGCTTTCACTAAATATTGTTTTCCTGTTTAGTTTTCGGAGTTATTGTAGATTTTAAATGTGATAAATGCTTACATTTAATTCATGTATATTATTATGTAGATTTTTGTTACATTTAAATAATAAACTTGTAAAAATGCTACTTAAAATACATAACAAAAAACATTTTAACACAAATCGCTTAGTTTACATACTACACTGGCGCGATAAACTTGGGTTACAAGCACGCTGACGGAGCAGGTGGGTAATAGAAATAACACTGGTCAAGAGCGGTTTTGGTGCGGCGGAGCTATAGTTCCTTTTTAACTTTTGTTTTATTTAATTTAATCTGAGAAAAACCCCTTTCAACATTTGCTGTTGAAACCACAAAAAAAAATCTTCATAGTCAAGATTTTCTATATGGGGTTACAGTTTCATTTTAATATCTATAGAAACAAATTTTATTTCCAGCGTGTAGCTTTCTAGATTTTGACTTGTACAGAAAAATACAAATTTACATGAAAAATTGCATTTATTACGTTTTACGTATTATGGAAATTTGATTGACATATTGCATCCTAAGATTTTAAGGCTCTACAGCATGTAATTTACGATTTCGTAGTAGGTGCATACTTGACTTATATTTTCCCATAATGTTTTTAGTAAATTCAACAAACGAGGTCCGTGCAAGACGTTCCAAATCGTTCAATGAACTTAAGAGATTAGCATCCTTTAATAGTATTCTCATTTGTGGGCCATCGAAAATTCCCGCTTTTAGTTGTTGTTATGTTTTAAGTAATTTTTTTTTGTGCTTTTTGGCTGTCTACAGATATTAGGGCTCTTGATACTCAGCCGGTCTTGGGGCAATTGAACCCCTTGAATGTCACTTTTGTACATGACGTCAACGAGTTTGTTTCTTGTAATCTAGAAGCCAATACATCTGCAGATTTTTCAGATAATTCTAGATGTCTTATCAAATCATTTAATTATTTTTAACTGAAAGTATATGGCTTTGTAGACGGTATTCATTCTCGAAGTCATAGTCACTGCTCACTTCATTGAAGATTTTTTCGAATGATAAGTCACGGATGGAACAAAATTTTGGGGATACCTTTCCTTCGAATGTGGTAAGGGTCTTCAAGCCGATTCTAATTCTGTATAAATAATCTTATAATAATAACGCTAACTTATAATATAAAATAATTTTGGCTTATTGGGACAACTGATACGCGATGTAAACCTGGTATTAAAATCTTCGAAATGCGCCCACGATGGTATTGATAACACCCCATGGTGAAATTATAAAAAGGCGAAGTAATAAAGCAGCTTTATCGCTATATTTTCTTGACATTTGGCTAGCTCACAGACATTTTTAAAGGCAAATTTTCAAATCGAATGGTATCAAATATTTCTTCCCGCTCTTATTACTTCACCGGGTATAATTTTACTAAGATTACACCTAATATATGTAAAAGCTAACGTTAATTTTAAAACTACATGTAGGAAAAAAATTAAATTCCTTGTAACAAACCACTAACGTTATTTCGGCACCAAACAACTTTTTTTAGTTTGTTGACCTGTGTAATCGAAAATTTTTCAACAATATACAACCAAATTCATTGGAGTTTCCCCTTTTTAATATCTTTTCCGTTTTATTCCAACACATTTTTATGACTTCTTCAATTTGCAATTTATTTATAAATAGCTAATTACATTTTTAAAAACTCATTTGGTGTATTTTTCCTTTTAGAAATAAAATTTTTTTATATGGTATTTATTTTTCTTTTAATTTTTAGACTTTATTATTTTAAAAAGAACAGTATTTTTAAACTTCGTTTTATTTTTAGGGCTTATTTTATTTTGCTATTTTTTATATATGTATTTTCTTTTAATTTGTAGATTTCATCGTTTTAAATCGTTTTTTTTTTTTAATTTCATTTAGTTTTTAGGAATTAATTTTGTTTATATTTATTTTTCTTTTTTGTTTAAAATTCCTTTATTTTTAGATTTTATTGATTCAAAAAGAAAAAAGATTTTTGAATTCTATTTAATTATTAGTTTCTATTGTTTTAGAAGGGAAAATATACATTTCTTATTTACAGAAAAGAGCTTTCAGGATACATAGTTGTCAGATTTGAAAACTATCTTAAGATAGCCTTTTGTCTTTCGAAAGACTGCGGTCATATAAGCCTTTTCGTAACACTGAGTATGTATCTTGTTGAGCTTATAAATTGCACAAAATGTAAGAGAGGCTAATAGGTATGCGATTCTTCGCATTTAATATAAAAAAGTACAGAGCTAATTTACTCATGTTTCGCGCGTCGCACTAAATTGTGCTGGTATAACTCCAGTCGGACAAGCCGCTTTTTACATAGATAGGATACATTTATCGCTCTGGTGCAGAATAGAATGTGCTTGCTTTTGCCTGTGAGCTTTCCCCTAGGAGAGGAATGTGATCAAGATGTAGGAGATTTTATGCTATATTTATTAATTAATTTGATACTAGTGATATTCACATACTGCATAGGTAAATACATATTCAATATCTTGTAAATATATGCCAAATATAATACCGCTAATAAGATAGTCCGAATATTTCACATATCTGACTGAACTTTCTGTAGTGAGTAGGCAACCATTGGGACAGGGTTTAGATTTTTTCCGTGTCACCTCCACAGTTGCCGTTTTGTTCCAAATTTACCAAATTTGGTCCATTTCTTTTCGTTTGGTCCATTGGTCCAGTTCTGTTTAAAATGGTCCATTTCACAAGCCTTTTTTTTACTTCATGCAATAGTTTCGCGTTTTTATTTTTTCTATCCCTAAGTTGAATATCGTCATCGTCAGTAAAAGTGACGATATGGCCATCGTCAGCCATGTTACTGTTGCGCTGACGATCGTCGACGATAAGATGACGATATTCAGCCTAGGGCCGATTGGCTAAAAGTGTGAACTCACCTTGCCACTGATCTTCAAATATGACGTGGCTAATCATCTGTCAAAGCACGGTTCAAAAAATATCGTGGTTTCTTGCTAATTTCAATTGCTCGGTGACCAATATTCAAGTGGCTGGCAAAAATATGGAAAGGTAGAAAAACTTAAATCATAGCATTTAGCACATGAAAATAATATTCGATTTCAATCGAAAAGATATTAAACATCTTAAAATTATTACACCACATAAAGTTCCTTCTGATACTGATGTATCAATTTTGCCGCTACTCGACCAATTTCCCGCATTGGTAAATGATGCAGACATATAGAATTTCAATTTCGAAAATTGAGGCTGAGTGAAGGTAACTTCAAAAACTGTACCAACGTTTTTGGGATCAAGTAAGTTTGATTAAAAATGGATTGGGCAAAGCAGCCTTTGGAGAATTGTGTGATTTAGTTCATAACATTTCTAGTCTGCCTCATAGTAGCAGAGCGCAAATTTCTTGATTTAACATTGACAAAAACGAAATTATGAAACAAATTATAATTTAAAACTTTAAACAATATAATGTTAATACAATACTATCGTTATGAACTTTTGATGCATTGGCATATTTTCTTGATAAAGATGAATAAACTCCACTCAATTTCCCGATGTAATAAAAATTGGTAAATTTTTTACCATTTGGTCCATTTTTTGGTCCGAAAAATAAATTTGAAATGGCAACCGTGGTCACCTCATACGTGGTATTGCATTTGGCGACGTTCTGGATGTAAGCTATTTCGGTAGTTTTGGTTAACTATTAGAAAGGTATCATCAGCCAAAATGTCGTCACAAAGAGCATCGCCGATCGTACTTTCGATGACTTGTTGGTGAAGTTCGCTGAGAAACACAATTTAAAATTAAATGAAACTTTGAAGCTCAAACTCTCACACAATTATTTTTCGAAAACAAACTCAGAAACTGAATTTTTTTAATACACATTGCCGGAAAAAAGTATTGGCACAGAGACTTTGTTACAATATATGCAACAATTTTTATTTTTTTCCGCTAATTTTTTATAAAAGTATGGTTCATACAACAACAAAAAACAAAAAAAAAATAATTTCTAAACTTTGTGCGAAACTCGCGAAAATTTAATAAATTTTCATGCAAATTTTCAACTTTTTAATCAAATTATGCAGTTTCGTAGCCAAATAAATTTGATTACAATGAAGTTCAAGTTTGAAGTAGGTCCGTTGATTTTTGGCAATGTTTTTCACGCAGTATAGAAAAAATGCGAAACACGTTCAACGAAAATAAATTCTCAAAAACCAACGCGATTTTAGACTATGTTCAAACTTGCATTTTTTATACTGGAATTTACTGCATACTCAAAAAAATTCCGAAAACCGAACCAGATTATAAAGCTCAAAATTTTGAAGAAAATTTACTGAATTTTCGCGAGTTTTGCACAAAGTTTAGAAATTATAAATTATTATTGTGTTGTTATATGAACTATATTTTTATAAAAAATTAGCGGAAAAAAATTCTAATACAATTTTTGCACATACTGTGAAAAATTCTCTGTGCCAATACTTTTTTTCCGTCAGTGTATGTACATATGTATCTTATTCGTATGGTATGTATGTTGACACTAAAAGCCTAACTGCATTAAAATAATCTATTTAATTCAATAAGTGTGAAGAGTTTCTAGATGGTTTCACTCTAACTAACTACCCAGCCAGCAAAGGAACGTAACGTCTTGCCGAATGTCCATATTCCGTACATATTTTTTCGTATCTAAAACACGTCCGAAAATAATCAGACAATACTTGTAAAATATTTAATGGCGTTTTCGTTTCTAAAAAATATGTTGCCTTTTC